ATATAAAATATGATTTAAAACATGATTCATTTTAAGGAGAGCTAGCAGGGGGACTTTCCTGGCGGTCCAGTGGTTAAGGCTTCGCCTTCCAATGCAAGGGGTGCAGACTCGATCTCTGGTCGGGGAGCTAAGGTCCCACATGCCTCACAGCCAATATACCAAAACATGAAACAGAAGCAATATTGTAACAAATTCAATAAAGACCCTAAAAATGGTCCACATCAAAAAAAAAAATCTTGGGCTTCCCTGGTGGTGCAGTGGTTGAGAGTCCACCTGCTGATGCAGGGGACACGGGTTCGTGCCCCGGTCCGGGAAGATCCCACATTCCGCGGAGCGGCTGGGCCCGTGAGCCATGGCTGCTGAGCCTGCGCGTCTGGAGCCAGTGTTCCACAACGGAGAGGCCACAGCAGTGAGAGGCCCGCATATCCAAAAAAAAAAAAAATCTTAAAAAAAATAAAAATAAAAAGAGCTAGCAGTGAAAAAGGGATGTGGTCCTTTTAAAAAGGATTCTTTCTTACTAATATTTATTCTTCTGTTATTCTTCCCTTAGCTCTTGCCTACTTCATCTGGATTACCACCAGGTTGGGAAGAAAAACAAGATGAAAGAGGAAGATCATATTATGTGGATCATAATTGCAGAACTACTACCTGGATAAAGCCCACTGTACAGGTACCCTGCAATCTATCCATTAATGTGTTTTCTTATATAATTTGAACCATCATATTTCTATGGAAGCTATTATGTCACTTTGTAGTGTATGCTGGATGCTTCTAATTATTTTCTGATATTGGTGCTAATTGTCTGCCATTTCCGGCCGATCTCTAATACACATGAATCACCACTTGTTATTATGTAAAACAAGTCCAATTGGGAATAGGAGGACAAAGTGAATGATCTGGTCCACTGGGTAATTGTGTAATTTGAATGGTTAAGATCATTATTTTGCTAAAAGATAATGTTGATGATTAGTATCTATCAAAGAACTTTGTCATGATGACACTTTGTCCTTGGCAACATTGAGTGCCTTTTGTAATATTTCTTTGTAAGCATTTAGGAAAATATTTTGTCTTATCACCATGTCTCTTATTGAGAAATTTTTTAAAACTGAAAAGTACAGAGAATAAGATAGTAAATACCGATTTTCTTAACACCCTGAATTTACCGCCATTAACAAATCACCGTATATGTTTCTAGACATTTTCTTTTTTAAAATAAAATCTTACAGATAAAACTAAATTCCTTTTAGCCAAGCACTTGACCCCACTACCCAGAGGGAGCTACCATCGTGAGCTTGTTGGGGATTCTTCCTGCCTATTTTATGTACTTAATAGAGAGCTAAACAATGCAAAACGTTATTTATGTCCATGTGTCAAGTTTTGCAAAAATGTGTTATATAATTCTAAATATTTTTTTTGCTCACCATTGTTTTAAAACCCTACCATGTTGTTTTATATATAAATCCAGTGTATTTCTTTTAACTACTGCCTTATATTTCATCACATGAATATATTACATTTCAGGTATGCATTTCTGTAGTATATGTTTGTCATTCATTTTGTCTTCCCAGCATTTGAACCCACTTTGTGTGTATGGGAAATTCCCACTCTATATGAGTCTTCTGGGTGAGCAAAGACAACCTTCTCCACTTGGCACTGCAGCTTCCCTTGCAGCTAGGGCTAACAGACTGACAGTTAACCAGCATTCTTACTGCTCAAGAATCAGTTGAGAAATTATAAATTATTTTAAAAACAAACTTTGACAAAACACTGTATTGGAAAAATGAGCCTCCAATCTTTAGGCCTATTTATAAGTGTGTGTGCTGTTTGCAGGTTAAGTTACCTTTTTAACCACAGCTATTTGTGTGTTCTCTATAAACACTGCAACACGATTGAATTAACGTGCTAGGCCACAGTGGAGACCAGTCAGCTACCGTCAAGCCAGGGTTCTTCTGCAGGCCCTCACCCACAGGCCCCCACGAGTGATGCAGCACAGCAGGTGACCCAGCCATCTGAAGTGGAGCAAGGATTCCTTCCCAAAGGCTGGGAAGTCCGGCATGCACCAAACGGGAGGCCTTTCTTCATTGACCACAACACCAAAACCACCACCTGGGTAACTTCAGTGCTCTCCAGTTTAAATTTATAACAACAATAATAGTCTCTCATGTGTAGTTCTTGATAATCTTTAATTATACATTAATATACCCTACATTTCCTAGTCCTCATTTAGAGATAGGTTGAATTCTTAATAGAATTATTTCTAGTCAATATGTTTATGCCTATTTTTAATATTTGAGGGGATTGTCATGGAGATACATTTACTTCCTGTTTGCAGTTTTGGGGTTTTTTTATTCATTTGTCTTTGTGTGTGTGTGTGTTTTTGGTCACACTGCACAGCTTGTGGGATCTTATTTCCCCAACCAGGGATCGAACCCACGCCCCCTGCAGTGGAAGTGTGGAGTCCTAACCACTGGACTGCCAGGGAGTTACCATGTTTGCAGTTTTTATCTCACTAGCCATGAATACTGAGGAAGATATTTAGTCATAATCCTTTCCCTTTATATGAGGCTTATAGTTCCAAAGTACTTTTGAATCCATATCTCATAGTACCCAGAAAAACGTATGAGACTAGGTAGAATAGGTATTTTTATGTTAAGATAAGCCTTAAAGTTGTTGAGCAGTTGGTTTAGCACTAATTGAAAAATTACTGAAAATCAGCAGCAGATGAAGAGATTTTGATTAATTAATTTGTTTAAAACACCAATATACCTAAATAAAACTAAAATTATACAATAAATGATTTAAGAAAATAATATTAAAATTATAATATACATCAATAAATCCAAATAAATTAAATTTTGTTTTCTTTCAACAATTTGAATTGCCTTTAATAATATTTTTGTGCTTACCTTCCTATCTTTCAAAAATATTAATAAATTAACACCTTAGCAACTAGGTGCCTAAAAGCATGTTCAGGGCCTCAGAAATAACATGTGCTCCAGTTTTATGTCCCACTCTTACACCAGTTTTTATTTAGAGAAGAGCCCTAAGTAGTGACACAATCCATAAAGAGTGGGCAAAATACTCCGAATGGTTTCTGTGAAAGAGGTAGTGAGTTAATACTGATCCTCCTCTGAGATCTGAGAACTGAATATTGTAGCCTGTGAGTGATAGATTTTAGATGAGAACCTATTATTTCATAGAGTAAGCAAAAGAAATAAAAGTGATATCCATTGATATTAGAAAACATAGTAACAGATTGACTTTCATGATTTTAAAGTTTGTGTGTGTGTATTGTTTTCTTTATTTACTCTACCAAAAAAGGAAGATCCAAGACTGAAAATTCCAGCTCATGTGAGAGGAAAGACATCACTTGATTCCTCCAATGACCTGGGGCCTTTACCTGTAAGTTTCTAGAACTGCTACCCATCTAACTGGGCTATCTCAAACATTTGTCATTTGGAATACAGTAGTTCTTTAACAACTATAATTAATATTATTGTTGAAGTGTTGATGTCTTCTACTAAGAACGGAATATGCAAATTAAATCAACCATATAACCAAATCTATTTCTCTGCCCATACATCAAAAACCATTTCCTAACATAATTGAAATATATTCTTCATTATAGCCAGGATGGGAAGAAAGAACTCACACCGATGGAAGAATCTTCTACATAAATCACAGTATGTGCAATGTGATTATTTTCACTACATTATCTTTTGCAGTATCGAATTTTGTGCGTGAGGATGGAGAACATCTTTTTTTCTCTCTTTCTTCAGATATAAAAAGAACGCAATGGGAAGATCCTCGGTTGCAGAATGTAGCAATAACTGGACCAGTAAGTCTCTTTGTATCAGGATCCTCTGATGGGGTTGTCCCCTTACCTGTCTCTTCAAGGGTGTTTGATCAAGGACATAGCACTAAAGGCGTTGAGAGGAAAGCACATTTGCAGATCTCCCCTCTCCCCACCGCGCATACACCAGGTCTCAGTTATTTGAAAAGAGCATCATATAAAGTCATTATCCTTACTCTGCGCGGCAGCCTTGTGAAACCAGTGAGCCAGATAGTCAAATACTAAGGCAGTGGTCTGCCGTGCTCAGGCTGGTACTTGTCTGAAGAAGAAGGCTGGCAATCCTCAGCAGATCAAAGGAGCCAAGAGTGTATCTGGTGAGGAAGCAGAGAGCACCCTATCAACTCAGGGTCATGACTTGAACTTTTTGGTTGAAATCGTTGTAAATACCAGTATATAAGACGTACTCACATTTAAGTACAATTATTACCATGTATGATGTTTACACTACTCTTGAGTCAGATTAACGATAGGAAAATCATTTTCCTCTTTTATATAGCTTCTTTTTCCAACTTCAGTTTTTCAGATTTTAACTGTTTCCTAATTCACAAAAATAAGTAAAATTGAAGATACAGTTCTTGTAGATTACTTTTCTGACTCCATGTTCAGTCTTTTAAAGTAATGGATAAAAAAGGCAACTCCTCAGAGTTCAAGCAAAAAGTATATTTTTCAAGTTGCTCCTTTAATGAAGAAATCACTTTGAAAGCCTCTTTAGAAATGGAAATGTTCATTTCTAATATTTCTCTACTTGGAAGATATTTCCTGTCTCTGGCCTGTTGCATTTCAAGAGTATTGCATGATGAAAATTACAGCCATAGGAATTGCTGAATACAATTTTATCTTAAACAGAGAAATTAAAATTTTTTAAATTGTATGTATGGTTTTCCTCTGAATTAAACTTTTCTTTTCAAATATTCTCTTTTAATGCCTTTAAGTTATGTTCATCAAATACCCAGAGGGGAGTTTTTAAAATTGTTCCAGAATGAAACAACTTAAACCTTCTTTATTTTTCCAAAATTTTCAACTCAAGGCAGTGCCCTACTCCAGGGATTACAAAAGAAAGTATGAGTTCTTCCGAAGAAAGTTGAAGAAGCAGGTTAGTGATACTTATAACGAGTTCTCAGGAATGATTTTCATATAGACTGAAAGTATGGGAAATACATTTTTAAAAGTAACAGAATTTATTCTATATATTAACAACTTTGAATAGTTTCTTTTAGGGAAAGGATATGTATTTTCTGAGTACCTGTAATATATGATTAGAGACCACAGTTATTTTATGTCTTTATTTTTCAATATACCTTGTAATATAGAAAAATAGTATTAGAAGTGTGCTTTTAAAGAGCTCTAACCTGGTTTCCTCGTGGGTTTGTGGGGTTTGAGTTTTGTAGAAACTAAGCAAGAGTAGCTCAGGAGATTATCCCCAGGCCTGGACTTAATTGTGTAGGAGGACTCTCTGGATTCCTTTTCTGCTTTGACTATTGTTTTCCAGTGTTAGTCATTCATTATTTACAGCTTCAAATATAATATATCTCTGCATAATTTGACAGTACAGCTGTGGTTGGAGCAGTCCTCTTATTGCTTGTCTCCTTCTGCTTATCAGAAATGTTCACTACTCTCTTTTCCATCACCACAAATTCATTATGTTTGGAACTAAACTCATCTGCCCATCTATTTCATTTCTGTTGGTGATGACTATTTTTTTTTAGTAATTTTTTAAAATTGATTGAAAGATTCTTTAAATTCCATAGTGCTTTAGTTTTCAAAGGTTTCACACACACGATTTCATGTAACTCCATAATAACCCTTCCCCCCAACTCTGTATTGCCCCTCCCCCCTTCCCTCTCCCCCTGGTAGCCACTAATTTGTTCTCTATATCTGTGAAGGTGTTGACCATTTTTTAATGCCTCTCTAATTTGCTCGTGCTTTTCCCCTTGCCCTGCAGTTTAGGAGTACTGCCACTAGGTGGCTATATTGGGTTACACTTACTTGCCTTCCAAGCCTGAAGCCTGCTTTTCCAGTTTCAAGATGGTGGGTCTGCTTCCACAGATCTTCTCATCCTAAATTGAACAGAAAAATGAAATATGATAGTTTTTTAGTGCAGATATTTTATGCCTGAATAAAGCCCTAAAATGTCATCAATGTTTTAAATTCATTTTCAGTAATAATTTTATGTTAAAATCACTCGAAATTTGTTTTCTACCTCTTAAAATTATTTGGGATTTTAAGTCTAGTTTGAGTTACTTGTCTGGTAAATATTTTCATTCTTAATGACAGTGTATTGGTGGAATAGAAGCACTAGCTTCTCCATTTGCCAGTCTGAACACTTATAAGCATGTTACCGTATCTAATGGTTGATGAGGCAACAGGTCACAGAACACAAAAACCATAATGAAAGCAGTAATATTTATTGAGCTTTCACTACATAACAGGCATTTTTCTTAACAAGTTACATGTATTATCTACGTGTAATCTCTACAGTAACTCTATAAGGAAGGTACTATTATTATCACATTTTAGATCTGAGGAAACTGAGGCTCAGAGAAATTAGGCAATGTGATCAAGTTCCATGGTTATTAGTGGCAAAGCCAGAAACAAACCAAGTGGTCTAACGCCAGAGTTCATGCTCTTAAGCCACCTGACATATCAGATTGGTGGTTAAGAGAAGAAATTACCCAGAATGCAACAGATACATAAAAAGATTAAAATTATGAAAGAAAGCTTAAGAAGCATGAAGCTGTTCCAGAAAGAGAGACTGGAGAGCCTGAGAAAAGAGGCTGAGAATCTGAATCCTCAGTTTAACAAAATTTCCCAAGCAGGATTTAAAAAATAAAATCCCTATCTGGACACATCACAGCAAAAGAGCAAGATGGAGATGAAAATATCTAAATCAGTGCTCCAAAGCTTTGAGCTGTCTTTAACCTTTTCTTCTGCCTAATCCTTAACATCTCATTAGTTAGGAATAAGGGTGGCTGATCATTGCTGAGATCACTGCATGCCTGGTATCGTGTCAGCGCAAGAAATGCATTACCCTAGTAAGTCCTGAAACAGCTCCCTGAGGGTCAGTATTGTTATCATCCCTGTTTTATAGGTGAGGAAATTAAGCCTTTGAACAGATGTGTGAGGTGAAGCCGGGACTTGAACACAGTGTCCCCTGACTCTAGAACCCATGCATGGTCCACCACTCAGCTCAGAGGTGGAAATTTCTCCTTCAGCCCTCTCTTCGTTGCCACTGCTCATTCACATGGTCCATTCGTCTTCTCTCACACCGTCTGTTTCAGGGGTCTTTCACTGACCAGCACGTTTCTTGTCTCTCCTTAAAAACACCCTTTACACTCGAAGCCATCAGCCTCTGAGAACCCACCAGTCCGATCCTGTGGCTTCCTGCTCAGCAGCTCTTCCTGGTCAGCCTTCACGCTGTCTACACTGTGGCCTCAGACTGCTTCTGCACCTTCTTGCACTCTAATCCCTCCTCTCCCTCCCCTCCTCCTTCTGTACCGTCCAGCTGTCAGCTGGCTTAGACCCCTCCTGCAGGCTGTTGCTCAGTCCCTGTCTCCCTTCCCCTCTTTTTTTTTTTTTTTTGCACGGGCTCCGGACGCGTGGGCTCAGAGGCCATGGCTCACGGGCCCAGCCGCTCCGCAGCATGTGGGATCCTCCCAGACCGGGGCACAAACCTGCGTCCCCTGCATCAGCAGGCAGACTCCCAACCACTGCACCACCAGGGAAGCCCTCTCCCTTCCCCTCTTGAAGCCTCCTTGATTGTCTCACTTGCAATTAATAGCTCAGTCTTTTTGCCCACAAGAACTTTGCTTCTATTTCTATTTTTAGCAATTTTCCTACTCTTTTAAATCTCAGAATTAGTAACATTTACATTTTTTTCTCACACACACACCAAATTATAAACTCCTTGAGAAAGTGACCACATCTTATGCCATGTTTTTATTCCCTTTTCCTCCCATCTCTGGCCCCACTGCAATACCTACCTAGCATGGGCCTAGCCCAGAGCGGGCCTTCAGTAAATGCTTGCTGAGTCACCTGCACTGTTTGCCTAGTGCCTAAAATTCTAAAATTCCTTTTCTCCAATCTTACCACTTTTTAAAATTGCATAAGCAGCAGAGGAAACTGATTATGTTATGCTTATATCGCTTATATAAACTGCTTGTATTATTATGTTTCTATAGGGCTTTCCACTTTTCTTAAATATATTGAGAGTGAAATTGATTTCTTTTTCCCTTAGAGCTAACCCTCTTTTTGAAGTGACAGAATATTTATAGTATGTTTTCTTTTCATGGTTTCCACTTGAATGTCGCACACAAAGCACTCAAGGATAAAATATTCAGATATATTTCTATGTAATTTAAAAGGTCTGCCTAAAAGCATAGTTATCTACGTTTGTCATATAAGCAAAGTATGTACAAAAGATGAGTGAGGGAACAGAGATCATTCACTAAGAACAGAGACTCAGGAGCTATAAGACTTTCTTAACTTGTATCTTTAGTTTCTTCACCCATAAAATGAAGAAAATAATAGTAGCCTTCTTCATAGTGTTGTTATGAGGAGTAAGTGAGTTAACCCATTAAAATGCTGGGAACAGTGCGGGCACAGTCTGTAAATGTTAGCACCTGTTAATGAGTGAAGCGGGCAGGCTCCAAGGAGGAAAAGTGGAGGGCAGGGAAGAACCCTGAGCCAACAGGCACACAAGTAGCAGGCAGTGGCTAGACTGACGGCAGGTCACAGAATGGTCTTCTTCGTTGGATCTTAAGACGGAAAGGACTGTTCATGAAGTGCCTTCACGTGAGCCTTTTTACCACCATCAGTAGCTGCTTCTTCAGATGTGAAAATCAGAAGTCTATGCAATTAAGTGACTAGAGAAAATGCGTGAGTGCTTTCATACTGTGGAGGAAATACAGACAATATACCTAGTCCTGTTTTCCCTGAAAAAGGATCTTGGGCACAGGGTAGAATACAATGAATTTTATAACGTTCACAAGAGAAATGTGTCATCTTGTTGAATTGATTTAAACCATTAGTCTCTCTTCTCTGGGTTTTCAGAATGACATTCCAAACAAATTTGAAATGAAACTTCGCCGTGCAACTGTCCTTGAGGACTCTTACAGGAGAATTATGGGGGTCAAGAGAGCAGACTTCCTCAAGGCCAGACTGTGGATTGAGTTTGATGGCGAAAAGGGACTAGATTATGGAGGAGTCGCCAGAGAATGGTTCTTTCTGATTTCGAAGGAAATGTTTAACCCTTATTATGGGTTGTTTGAATATTCTGCTACGTAAGTACCTTTACAATGACTGTATACAGAAAGAAAATGTTTTGAAAGTAACAGTGATATGATGCAAGGAAAATGTATATCACAATGTGTCAGAAAACGGAGACTGTAACTAATGTTTCAGAAATAACTTTTTAAAATTGTGGTGAAATATACATAACATAAAATTTACCATTTTTATCATTTTAAGTATATAGTTCAGTGGCATTAAGTACAATACATTCATTGTTGTGTAACAATCACCACCATCCATCTGCAGAACTTTTTCATCATCCCAAACTGAAACTCCGTACCCTTTAAACACTATCTCCCCCATTCCCTGGTTTTAACCATTCTACTTTCTGTCTCTGTGAATTTGACTATTCTCAGTACCTCATATAAGTAGAATCATACAGTATTTGTCTTTTTGTAACTGACTTCATTAGCATAATGTCTTCAAGGTTTTATCCATGTAGCAGCATGTGGTAGAATTTCCTTCTTTTTGAAGGCTATATAATACCCCGTTATGTGTATCTACCACATTTTGTTTATCCATTTATCTTTCAATAACATTTTGGATTGTTTCCACCTTTTAATCAAAATGACTACTTTTAAAACCATTAAATCCAATGGTGTAATATGGTTCTAACAGAGGTAAACAACTCTGAAAAGAGGGAGATGATTTACAGTTATTTGTCATATTAAAATTTTTGTATGAAATATAGAAAGGAACATTTAAATGTGGTTATCTTTACAGGGATAATTATACCCTACAGATAAATCCCAACTCTGGATTGTGCAATGAAGATCACCTCTCTTACTTCAAGTTTATTGGCCGGGTAGCTGGGATGGCAGTTTATCATGGCAAACTGTTGGATGGTTAGTATTAAGCATAAAACTTTTTTTAATGTAATTATCTGATTTCTTTCACTTGGTAATCATTTTGAATATATTTGATTTTTTACAAGGCTTTTTCATCCGCCCATTTTACAAGATGATGCTGCACAAGCCAATAACACTTCATGATATGGAATCAGTGGTATGTCTTTTTCACTTATAATATGAAGTATGATATAAAAGGCAAATGAATATTTTACAGGCTTACCTTTTAATAATGAAAAAAATCAAAAGATATTCCAAAATACAAATGAACATTTTCCCCAACATTTTATTATGAAAATTTTCTAACATATAATGAAATTGAAAGTATTTTACAATGGCTATGTGCGTATCCACCACCCAGATTACACAATTGGCTTTTTATCTATACTCGTCCACACCCCCATCCATCAGTCCATCCTGGTTTTTTGATGCATTTCAAAGAAAGTTGCATATATCAGTAAACGTCTCCCTAAATACTTCAACATGGTATACATCAGTTTTATGCATCTCATTCTTCAGTATTTGAATTGTGATTATTTGTGATGAATGGCATATGTTTTCAAAATGGCAGTCCAAAAGCAAGGCCTTGAGATTAGGCTACTACAAAGAAACAGAAACCCGATAAAAAGATTGGCTTGCAGGAGAGCACCAGAATCACAACTAACTGCTGAACAAGCATCGACAGGAAGACACTGGAACTCACCAAAAAAGATACCCCACATCCAAAGACAAAGGAGAAGCCACAATGAGACGGTAGGAGGGGCGCAATCACAATAAAATCAAATCCCATAACTGCTAGGTGGGTGACGCACAAACTGGAGAACACTTATACCACAGAAGTCCACCCACTGGAGTGAAGGTTCTGAGCCCCACATCAGGCTTCCCAACCTGGGGGTCCAGCAACGGGAGGAGGATTTCCTAGAGAATCACACTTTGAAGGCTAGTGGGATTTGATTGCAGGACTTTGACAGGACTGGGGTAAACAGAGACTCCACTCTTGGAGGGCACACACAAAGTAGTGTGCACATCGGGACCCAGGGGAAGGAACAGTGACCCCATAGAAGACTGAACCAGACCTACCTGCTAGTGTTGGAGGGTCTCCTGCAGAGGTGGGGGATGGCTGTGGCTCACCGCAGGGACAAGGACACTGGCAGCAGAAGTTCTGGGAAGTACTCCTTGGCGTGAGCCCTCCCAGAGTCCACCATTAGCCCCACCAAAGAGCCTGGTAGTCTCCAGTGCTGGGTTGCCTCAGGCCAAACAACCAACAGGGAGGGAACCCAGCCCCACCCATCAGCAGGCAAGCAGATTAAAGTTCTACTGAGCTCTGCCCACCAGAGCAACAGCCAGCTCTACCCACCACCAGTCCCTCCCATCAGGAAACTTGGACAAGCCTCTTAGATAGCCTCATCCACCAGAGGGCAGACAACAGAAGCAAGAACTACAATCCTGCAGCCTGTGGAACAAAAACTACATTCACAGAAAGATAGACAAGATGAAAAGGCAGAGGGCTATGTACCAGATAGAGGAACAAGCTAAAACCCCAGATAAACAACTAAATGAAGTGGAGATAGGAAACGTTCCAGAAAAAGAATTCAGAAAAAGAATGGAGGCAAAGAATGAGAAGATGCAAGAAATGTTTAACAAAGACCTAGAAAAATTAAAGAACAAACAAAACCAAGATGAACATACAATAACTGAAATGAAAAAAACACTAGAAGGAATCAATAGCACAATAACTGAGGCAGAAGAACGGATAAGTGACCTGGAAGACAGAATGGTGGAATTCACTGCTGCGGAACAGAATAAAGAATAAAAGAATGAAAAGAAATGAAGACAGCCTAAGAGACGTCTGGGACATTAAACATTAAACACAACAACATTCTCATTACAGGGGTCCCAGAAGGAGAAGAGAGAGAGAAAGGACCTGAGAAAATATTTGAAGAGATTATAGTCGAAAACTTCCGTAACATGGGAAAGGAAATAGCCACCCAAGTCCAGGAAGCACAGAGAGTCCCAGGCAGGATAAACCCAAGGAGAAACATGCTGAGACACATAGTAATCAAATTGGCAAAAATTAAAAGACACAGAGAAACTATTGAAAGCAACAAGGGAAAAATGACAAATAACATACGAGGGAACTCCCATAAGGTTAACAGCTGTTTTCTCAGCAGAAACTCTACAAGCCAGAAGGGAGTGGCATGATACACTTAAAGTGATGAAAGGAAAGAACCTACAACCAAGATTACTCTCCCCAGCAAGGATCTCAGTCAGATTTGACAGAAAAATCAAAAGCTTTACAGACAAGCAAAAGCTAAGAGAATTCAGCACCACAAAACCAGCTCTGCAACAAATGATAAAGGAACCTCTCTAAGTGGGAAACACAAGACAAAAAAGGACCTACAAAAACAAACCCGTAACAATTAAGAAAATGGTAATAGCAACATACATATTGATAATTACCTTAAAGGTGAATGGATTAAATGGTCCAACCAAAAGACAGAGGCTTGCTGAATGGATACAAAAATAAGACTGATATATATGCTGTCTACAAGAGACCCACTTCAGACCTAGGGACACATTCAGACTGAAAGTGAGGAGATGGAAAAAGATATTCCATGCAAATGGAAATCAAAAGAAAGCTGGAGTAGCAATACTCATATCAGATAAAATAGACTTTAAAACAAAGAATGTTACAAGGGAAAAGGAAGGACACTACATAATGATCAAGGAATCAATCCAACAAGAAGATATAACAATTGGAAATATTTATGCACCCAACATAGGAGCACCTCAATACGTAAGGCAAATGCTAACAACCATGAAAGGGGAAATCAACAGTAATGCAATCATAGTGGGGGACTTTAACACCCCACTTACACCAATGGACAGATCATCCAAACAGAAAATTAATAAGGCAACACAAGCTTTAAATGACACAATAGATCAGATAGATTTAATTGATATTTATAGGACATACCATACAAAAACAGCAGATTACACTTTCTTCTCAAGTGTGCATGGAACATTCTCCAGGATAGATCACACCTTAGATCACAAGTCAAGCCTCACTAAATTAAAAACGATTGAAATCATATCAAGCATCTTTTCTGACCACAACACTACCATATTACAAATCAATTACAGGGGGAAAAAATGTAAAAAACACAAACACATGGAGGCTAAGCAATACGTTACTAAATAACCAAGAGATCACTGAAGAAATCAAAGAGGAGATCAAAAAATACCTAGAGACAAATGACAACGAAAACAGGACGATCCAAAACCTATGGGATGCATCAAAAGCAGTTCTAAAAGGGAAGTTTATAGCTATACAAGCCTACCTTAAGAAACAAGAAAAATCTCAAACAATCTAACCTTACACCTAAAGGAACTAGAGAAAGAAGAACAAACCCCAAAATTTGCAGAATGAAATAAATCATAAAGATAAGAGCAGAAATAAATGAAATAGAAACAAAGAAAACAATAGCAAAGATCAATAAAACTAAAAGCTAGTTCTTTGAGAAGATAAACAGAATATATAAACCATTACCCAGACTCATCAAGAAAAAGAGGGAGAGGACTCAAATCAATAATATTAGAAATGAAACAGGAGAAGTTGCAACAGACACTGAAGAAATACAAAGGATCCTAAGAGACTACTACAGGCAGCTCTATGCCAGTAAAATGGACAACCTGGAAGAAATGGACAAATTCTTAGAAAGGTATAGCCTTCCAAGACTGAGCCAGGAAGAAATAGAAAATATGAACAGACCAATCACAAGTAATAAAATTGAAACTGTGATTTAAAATCTTCCAACAAAAAATGTTCAGGCCCAGACGGCTTCACAGGTGATTTCTATCAAACATTTAGAGAAGAGCTAACACCCATCCTTCTCAAACTCTTCCAAAAAATTTCAGAGGAAGGAACACTCCCAAACCCATTCTGTGAGGCCACCATCACCCTGATACCAAAACCAGACAAAGATACTCAAAAAAAGAAAATTACAGACCAGTATCACTGATGAATATAGTTGCAAAAATCCTCAACAAAATACTAGCAAACAGAATCCAACAACACATTAAAAGGATCATACACCATGATCAAGTGGGATTTATCCCAGGGATGCAAGGATTCTTTAATATATGCAAATCAATCAATGTGATACACCGTATTAACAAATTGAAGGATAAAAACCATATGATCATCTCAATAGATGCAGAAAAAGCTTTTGACAAAATTCAACACTGATTTATGATAAAAACTCTCCAGAAAGTGGGCATAGAGGGAACCTACCTCAACATAATAAAGGCCATATATGACAAACCTACAGCAAACATCATTCTCAACGGTGAAAAATTGAAAGCATTTCCTCTAAGATCAGAAACAAGACAAGGATGTCCACTCTTGCCGCTATTATTCGACATAGTTTTGGAAGTCCTAGCCACGGCAGTCAAAGGAGAAAAAGAAATAAAAGGAATACAAATTGGAAAAGAAGAATTGAAACTGTCACTGTTTGCAGATGACATGATACTATACATAGGGAATCCTAAAGATGCCACCAGAAAACTACTAGAGCTAATCAATGAATTTGGTAAAATTGCAAGATACAGGATTAATGCACAGAAATCTCTTGCATTTCTATACACTAATGATGACAAATATGAAAGAGTAATTAAGGAAACACTCCCATTTACCATTGCAACAAAAAGAATAAAATACCTAGGAATAAACCTACCTAAGGAGACAAAAAACCTGTATGCAGAAAACTATAAGACACTGTTGAAAGAAATTAAGGATGATACAAACAGATGGAGAGATATACCATGTTTTTGGATTGGAAGAATTAATATTGTGAAACTAGCTATACTACCCAAAGCAATCTACAGATTCAATGCAATCCCCGTCAAATTACCAGTGGCATTTTTTATGGAACTAGAACAAAAAAATCTTAAAATTTGTATGGGGACACAAAAGACCCCGAATAGCCAAAGCAGTGTTGACGGAAAAAAACAGAGCTGGAGGAATCAGACTCCTCGACTTCAGACTATACTACAAAGCTACAGTAATCAAGACAGTATGGTACTGGCACAAAAACAGAAATATAGATCAATGGAACAGGATAGAAAGCCCAGAGATAAACCCAAGCAACTATGGTCAACCTATCTATGACAAAGGAGGAAAAGATATATAATGGAGAAAAGACAGTCTCTTCAATAAGTGGTGCTGGGAAAACTGGACAACTACATGTAAAAGAATGAAATTAGAACACTCCCTAACACCATACACAAAAATAAACTCAAAATGGATTCGAGACCTATATGTAAGACTGGACACTATTAAACTCTTAGAGGAAAACATAGGCAGAACGCTCTTTGACATAAATCATAGCAAGATCTTTTTTGATCCTCCTCCTAGAGTAATGGAAATAAAAACAAAAATAAACAAATGGGACCTAATGAAACTTAAAAGCTTTTGCAAAGCAAAGGAAACTGCAAACAAGACAAAAAGACAACCCTAAGAATGGGAGAAAATATTTGCAAATGAATCAACAAAGGATTAATCTCCAAAATATATAAACAGCTCATGCAGCTCAATATTAAAAAAACAAACAATCCAATGAAAAATGGGCAGAAGACCTAAATAGACATTTCTCCATAGAAGACATATAGATGGCCAAGAAGCACATGAAAAGCTGTTCAACGTCTCTAATTATTAGAGAAATGCAAATCAAAACTACAATGAGGTATCACGTCACACCAGTTAGAATGGGCATCATCAGAAAATCTACAAACAACAAATGCTGGAGAGGGTGTGGGGAAAAGGGAACCCTCTTGCACTGTTGGTGGGAATGTAAATTGATACCGCTAGTATGGAGAACAGTATGGAGGTTCCTTAAAAAACGAAAAATAGAATTACCATATGACCCAGCAATTCCTCTACTGGGCATATACCCAGAGAAAACCATAATTCAAAAAGACACATGTGCCCCAATGTTCATTGAAGCACAGTTTACAATAGCCAAGACATGGAAGCAACCTAAATCTACAGACGAATGGATAAAGAAGATGTGGTACATACATACAATGGAATATTACTCATCCATAAAAAGGAGTGAAATTGGGTCATTTGTAAAGATGTGGATGAACTAGAGACTCTCAAACAGAGTGAAGTAAGTCAGAAAGAGACAAACAAATATTGTATATTAATGCATATATGTGGAACCTAGAAAAATGGTACAGATGAACCGGTTTGCAGGGCAGAAATTGAGACACAGAAGTAGAGAACAAATGTATGGACACCAAGGGGAGAAAGTGCCGGGGGGTGGGGGGGCGGCGTGGTGGGATGAATTGGGAGATTGGGATTGACATGTATACACTGATGTGTATAAAATGGATAACTAATAAGAACCTGCTATATAAAAAAATAAAATAAAATTCAAAAAAAATGTATTATACTTATATTCCCTAGTGGATTAAAAAAAAAAATGCTCACCAAAGAATGCTTATGCAAGGAATCAAGAAGTTGATGGCTTATTTTGACCACCTGAAGTGGCAACCTGGGTCCATAAAAAAAAAAAAAAAAGACACATGCAGCCCAATGTTCATTGCAGCACTATTTACAATAGCCAGGTCATGGAAGCAACCTAAATGCCCATCTACAGATGAATGGATAAAGAAGATGTGGTACATATATACAATGGAATATTACTGAGCCATAAAAAGGAACAAAATTGGGTCATTTGTCGAGACGTGGATGGATCTAGAGACTGTCATACAGAGTGAAGTAAGGCAGAAAGAGAAAAACAAATATTGTATATTAACACATATATGTGGAAACTAGAAAAAATGGTACAGATGAACCATTTTTTGCAGGGCAGAAATTGAGACACAGGTGTAGAGAACAAACGTATGGACACCAATTGGGGAAAGTGGGGGGTGGGGGGTGGTGTGATGAATTGGGAGATTGGGATTGACATATATACACTAATATGTATAAAATGGATAACTAATAAGAACCTGCTGTATACAAAAATAAATAAAATTTAAAAATTAATAAAAGAAACAGAAACACAAGCTTTAAATCCTTGACTATAACTTTGTAACCTACGCTGAATAGCATCACACAGTATGTGAACACATGGATTCCAAGACCTCGTCTGTGTTACCAAGTCCCATTTTTGTGACACATTGTTTGTGTGAACAGTATAATTCTTCATAAATCATAAAATTGCACAGTTATTTGCGTTGGTTAACTGAAGTTTTGTATTTAATTTGAGAGTTTTCTTCAACTTGGGCCAGGTATAAATAACAGCCTCCTCAGAGCTGCTTAAACACTTCAAACACAGTCTCACAGGCCATGTGAAACAGGTGTTGAGTGCTCCTGAGTATTCATGGCAGTTAGGATTCGTGTCAAAACTGACCCTTAAACTGGATAATAAAATCTGTACCTCCACTACTTCCAAACAGAGTTAGACTTCGAAACTTTTAAGCAGGCACCACGCTATTGATATATGCACTTATACTTACTGGTCATTCATCTCTTTGTAATACTTGTGTGTGTGTGTAAAAGATGTCCAACTGACCTTTTCATCTTTTGTCCAATTATTCAGACCCTCAGCATACTTTCTCTGCAGATTCAAGTATCTTCTTTCTATACACAAATTTTAAATATGCAATCTTTCCCATTTAGGACAGTGAGTATTACAATTCACTAAGATGGATTCTTGAAAACGATCCAACAGAACTGGACCTCAGGTTTGTCATAGATGAAGAACTTTTTGGACAGGTTTGTAAATTTTGATTAATTAAAATGGTACATAAATTGTGGAACTTTAGAACTTAAGTTTAATAACAAGTGAAATGTTATAACTTAAGTTTAGATGTTAAATAATGCATATACTCAACATATTTCTGTACTCTATTTTTAAATTTATTTTCCACTAATGAAAGCTGTCTCTCAGAAAGAATTTCTGCTTCTTTAACATTTGACTCATTCCATATTTATTTTAGTAAAACTAATATTTCAAGTTTTCTTAGCTTTTGAATGGATTTAATTTAAAACACCAGGTTTCTGGTATAACTATCATATTTATACTTAATTTTTTTCACTAAAATAACATATCAAGGTATCATGCTTAATTTTAGACCCATCAACATGAGTTGAAAAATGGCGGATCAGAAATAGTCGTCACCAATAAGAACAAAAAGGAATATATTTAGTAAGTATTTTGTTGTAAGTATTTTACTCTATTTAGTAAATTCTTTATTGGAAATAATTTTATACTTCTTTCTGGGAAGACTCTTTGTACCTTCTTTCTCTTACCCCAGAGTCAGAGCCTCAATGTTCTTTTTCTCTTTCTGTAACCATGTCATATTAATCACTCATGTTCAGTTTTCGCCTTGGGCTTAGCTAGTCTTTATTTTTTGTTTCTAACCAGAATACATGTACCTTAACAGTTTTTCTTGTTTCCTGTGAAAACAATGAAATGTTTTGTTTCTTTTAGTCTTGTAATACAATGGCGATTTGTAAACCGAATCCAGAAGCAAATGGCTGCTTTTAAAGAGGTACTCATTTTGTTTCCTCTTATATAATTTCAAAGTACAGTCCGTAAGTTTTAAATATTGGGCCTTATCATGTCAGAGAAGAAGTAGTATATGACTTTTTAAAACCATTCTAAATTAATTTTCATACTGACAAAATATTAAATGAATAGATGTTGAGTTAAAACGCAATCATTCAAGAAATCCATGCAATAAACAGTCCTCCTTAACATGGATCCCCCTCAGCTTTCCCAGTCCCACTCCCCTCACCTTAAGTAACCTTGGGTGAACAAAGGAACAAGAGTGCTAGAGGGATGATGGAATATACTATTTGTTTCTTTTCCTAAATGGGGTCACATCATACACGTTGGTTTGTGACTCACTTTCTTCTCTTATCAAATACTTATTGGAGGTCTTTACATGTCAAGATACATAGCGACCTTTCTTTGTGGCTGCCTTTTATTCATACTCTAAATTCATAAGTTATTTAAACTTCCCAATTGATAGACATTTAGGCTGTTGTCAGGGCATTCATTTCCTAAGCTAACTAAAAGTCTTCTGTTAAATATTTATCACATACTTTTTCATTTATTCAACACTGAGCACTGACTGTGTCTGGTGCTATGCGAGAGGCAAAACGACATAGGTCCTGCTGTCAAGGAGCAGAGACTCTAAAGGGGGAAATGGACAGAGGGAAGCCTGCAGTACTAGGTGAGCAGAGAAGAGAGGTAGAAACCAGAGCAGAGAGGGGTGGAGGCAGGGGAGGGGAGGGCTCGAGGGATCGGCCAGCCACAGAGGAAGAGGAAATGCAATTCTAAGCAGAGGAAGCAGCACCTGTGAAGTGTGGCAGTAAGACAGACTGGGCACACGTTAGAGAGAATACAGCAATTGCTGTACTGGATAAGAGGATGCAAGAGGTGAATTAATCCTGGAGAGATGGGAAGAACCAGATGATGGGGGCCCTGTTTGTTCGGAGTTTTCTCTGAAGTCCAGTGAGGGAAGAAGATGGCATTAAAGGCTATTAACAATAGAACGCCAGGATTCAATGTATTGATACATTTTGGTCAGATCATTCTGGAAGTGGTATGTAATGAGCTAGAGAGGGCAAGACGAGCCGCAGAGGCTAGTTGGAAAGTGCTGCAGTAATCCCGGGGAGAAATGGTAAAGACAGTGGGGAGAAAGCTGTGTGTGCACGTGAGTGGCTCTCAGGAAGGGAGATCTATAGCTTAGGGTGATTTAAAGGATAGAGATCTGGGGGTCCTTTGCGTGTGTGTAGTGGAGGTGTGGACTAGGCACGATGGAAAATTCAAAAGAACAGTAAGAACGGTGAAAGTGGATGGCCACACGTGGGGATGTGGGAACACCAACATTTAAGGAACGGACAGGAGAAACGGAGACATCAAAGGAAATCAGCAAAGGCAGACAGAGACCTAGGAGGAAAACCATCAACAACAGCAGAGTTTCAAGAACAAAGGTGTTGTCAAGAATATCGTAGTGCAGAGAAGTCAAATAAGGTAAGGAACTAAAAAAGTATGTAGTAGATGTAGCTGCAAAGCTGTCTTTGAGTTTCTCCAGGACACCTTCAGGGAAGCATTGATGAAGAGGTCAGATTGCAGTGGTTGAGGGATAGATGTGGGTGAGCGAGGGGATTTAGAAATGCGCGGTAACACTGTCCAGAGCGTGGAGAGCAGAAAGAGGGGCTTGCTTTCTTGTTTTGTTTTTAAGGTAGATAAGGCTTGAACAAATTTAGATGCATCAAGAGTGAGCTAATAAAGGTTTAGTGATGACATCCTTGAGGAAGATGAAGCACAGAGAGGAAGTGGTCCCTCTCTCCACAGCAGTGGGGAGGAGGCCCTCATGGATGTTGGGGCTGGTGGGTACGTGGGGATGCAGAAGGTTGAGGGAATTCCATCCTGCAGAATTGCCTCTATTTTCTCTCTCAAGTAGAAATTATCTGCTGTAAAGAAGGGGTGACATGGAGGAGGAGGAGGAGGCTTAAAAATTGTGGGGAAGTTTTAAAATAGCCACTTTGAGGAAGCAGTGAGAGAACAGACATGTATACTTTCTTGCCAACACTGAAATGTCAGTTAAGAGCCCATGAATGTGTAGTGGAAGAAGACGAAGTATGGGATTGTCCATTGACCCCACTGACCAGGGTTTTAAATATATTCTTTCTACTAGGGATTTTTTGAACTGATACCACAGGATCTCATCAAAATTTTTGATGAAAATGAACTAGAGGTAAGAAATATTGTTCTTATCTTAAAACAGGACTTTTGTTCCCATTATTTTTCATGTCTACAGTTTGACATTTCTTATTACGTAGCTTCTGATGTGTGGCTTGGGAGATGTCGATGTGAATGACTGGAGAGAACACACAAAGTACAAAAATGGCTACAGTGTAAATCATCAAGTCATCCAGTGGTTTTGGAAGGTAATGGAAAGCTTCTATTTTCATAAATTACTTTTCAGTAGATTCAATCATATTTAACTATACTAGTGGATCACATAGAGATACGACAAAAAATATATATAGCCCTGCCAAAATTATCTTTGATTTTGTACTGTATACGTTTACCTTCTGGATATGGTTCCAACCTCCATACATATTTTTAGATAAGTAAAATGTGCAGAATGTAGTAAGTGGCAGTGACAGCTGAGATAGGCACTTGATTCCTTACTAAAGTTGGGACTCTTCAAGGGAACTGGTAATAACCTGCAGTGTATTGTCTGGGACTCCTGCATGGCTCCTTGGAATGTGATTTTCCATCTTATACAGAAATGTGTATGATACTCAATAAATACCAGTAAATAACAATGTTTTAAAAGCTGTGAGTCACATCTGAGAGGAAATTTTGTCACTTTTTTAGGCTATAATCCCATTCTAAACAGTTACCACGTAGCCTTGGAAATGAAGTTTCAAGAACTTCATGAACCACCCATAAGCACAACTTGAACTGAAAGAAACATGCAAATTTCATAAGTGATCATTAATGCTCTAACTATTTTTCAGGATAGTTTTGTTACCGTTTTTTCCCAGTGATGTTTCTAAGTGCTGCTTTTATCTTTTGCAGGCTGTTTTAATGATGGACTCAGAAAAAAGAATACGATTGCTTCAGTTTGTCACTGGCACATCTCGTGTGCCTATGAATGGATTTGCTGAACTGTATGGTAAGGATTTCCATAGATCATTAAAAGATGGAGCCTATGGCAGTTGTCTTTTTCATGGCTAACTAGTCTTCAAGCTTCTATCATTTATACAAATATTTAGCTTAATTTTATAAATTAAGATTTTAAAATGATTATAATTAGATACACTGAAGTAGGTCAAAATATATGTACACCTTCTAATCAGATAGCAAAGGAGAAAACTGCAAACATGAAATGACTCAAGTTACTTCCCATTCTTGAATTTTAAATTTGATTCCCACCCTGCATTCCATTACAGAAAAGGCATTGCCTGTAGTGTGATGGTTTAGGGCAGGCAGCGTGTAAAGTTCCACAGGGTGTTAATAAGCGTACAACAAAACACAGAGAGTATCGTAGTAGAATACATTTGGGGGAAAGAACGGACTAAATGAAGTTAAATATTCTGTTTATTGGAATGACATTTACTTGCTTTTAAAGATACCAAGAAGAACAAATCTTTCAGAGAAAGTAGAGCCAAGATTGGAGCCCTACTGTCCCCTCCTTGGTAAACCTGGTTTCCTTGTTAAGCTTCATTTATATCTGTTTGCAGAACCTGTCAAGCAGCTGCCACTTCTCCACCTAGAGTAACCACTCCCAGTAGGAAGGCTGAACAAGAGCTTTGCTGCTCACCAATGTGCTCATTGGAAAGACAAATCCAGTTAAGCAGGACAAACACCCCTTCCATCTCTAGATCCACTGCCCTCTTTTGTGCAGCCCATGCCTACAGCTGTCCACTGATATCATGAATTTTTTTGGAATTTGGGGGAGATATCCCACAAACAGCTCCAGAGTTATTAGTGTTAGAATATAAATTCAAATTCTTAAGGGTTTACAAAAGAAGTAGAAGTTGCTTAAGAATGTTAATATTACAGGGCAGTATTATCTAGCCAATAAAACGTATGTTACATTTTTTTTAACATCTTTATTGGAGTATAATTCCTTTACAATGGTGTGTTAATTTCTGCTATATCACAAAGTGAATCAGCTATACGTATACATATATCCGCATATCCCCTCCCTCTTGCGTCTCCCTCCCACCGTCCCTATCCCATCCCTCTAGGTGGTCACAAGGCACCGAACTGATCTCCCTGTGCTATGCAGCTGCTTCCCACTACCTATTTTACATTTGGTAGTGTATATATGTCCATGACACTCTCTCACTTCGTCCCAGCTTACCCTTCCCGCTCCCCAAGTCCTCAAGTCCATTCTCTACGTCTGCATCTTTATTCCTGTCCTGCCCCTAGGTTCTTCAGAACCTTTTTTATTTTTAACATCTTTATTGGACTGTAATTGCTTTACAATGGTGTGTTAGTTTCAGCTTCACAACAAAATGAATCAGTTATATATATACATATATTCCCATATCTCTTCCCGCTTGTGTCTCCCTCCCTCCCACCCTCCCTATCCCACCCCTCCAGGTGGTCACAAAGCACCGAGCTGATCTCCCTGTGCTATGTGGCTGCTTCCCACTAGCTATCTACCTTACGTTTGGTAGTGTATATATGTCCATGCTTCTCTCTCGCTTTGTCACAGTTTGCCCTTCCCCCTCCCCATATCCTCAAGTCCATTCTCTGGTAAGTCTGTGTCTTTATTCCTGTTTCACCCCTAGGTTCTTCATGACATTTTTTTTCTTAAATTCCATATATATGTGGATACGGTATTTGTCTCTCTCTTTCTGACTTACTTCACTCTGTATGACAGACTCTAGGTCTATCCACCTCGTTACAAATAGCTCAATTTCGTTTCTTTGTATGGCTGAGTAATATTCCATTGTATATATGTGCCACATCTTCTTTATCCATTCATCCGATGATGGACACTTAGGTTGCTTCCATCTACAGGCTATTGTAAATAGAACTGCAATGAACATTTTGGTACATGATTCTTTTTGAATTATGTTTTTCTCAGGGTATATGCCTAGTAGTGGGATTGCTGGGTCATATGGTAGTTCTGTTTGTAGTTTTTTAAGGAACCTCCATGCTGTTCTCCACAGTGGCTGTATCAATTTACATTCCCACCAACAGTGTAAGAGGGTTCCCTTTTCTCCACACCCTTTCCAGAATTTATTGTTTCTAGATTTTTTGATGATGGCCATTCTGACTGGTGTGAGATGATATCTCATTGTAGTTTTGATTTGCGTTTCTCTAATGATTAGTGATGTTGAGCATTCTTTCATGTGTTTGTTGGCAGTCTGTATATCTTCTTTGGAGAAATGTCTATTTAGGTCTTCTGCCCATTTTTGGATTGGGTTGTTTATTTTTTTGTTATTGAGCTGCATGAGCTGCCTGTAAATTTTAGAGATTAATCCTTTGTCAGTTGATTCATTTGCAAAGATTTTCTCCCATTCTGAGGGTTGTCTTTTGGTCTTGTTTATGGTTTCCTTTGCTGTGCAAAAGCTTTGAAGTTTCATTAGGTCCCATTTGTTTATTTTTGTTTTTATCTCCATTACTCTAGGAGATGGGTCAAGAAGGATCTTGCTGTGATTTATGTCATAGAGTGTTCTGCCTATGTTTTCCTCTAAGAGTTTGATAGTTTCTGGCCTTACATTTAGGTCTTTAATCCATTTTGAGCTTATTTTTGTGTATGGTGTTAGGGAGTGATCTAATCTCATACTTTTACATGTACCTATCCAATTTTCCCAGCACCACTTATTGAAGAGGCTGTCCTTTCTCCACTGTATATTCCTGCCACCTTTATCAAAGATAAGGTGACCATATGTGCATGGGTTTATCTCTGGGCTTTCTATCCTATTCCATTGATCTATCTTTCTGTTTTTGTGCCAGTACCATACTGTCTTGATTACTGTAGCTTTGTAGTATAGTCTGAAGTCAGGCAGCCTGATTCCTCCAGCTCCATTTTTTGTTCTCAAGATTGCTTTGGCTATTCGGGGTCTTTTGTGTTTCCATACAAATTGTGAAATTTTTTGTTCTAGTTCTGTGAAAAATGCCAGTGGTAGTTTGATAGGGATTGCATTGAATCTATAGATTGCTTTGGGGAGTAGAGTCATTTTCACAATGTTGATTCTTCCAATCCAAGAACATGGTATATCTCTCCATCTGTTTGTATCATCTTTAATTTCTTTCATCAGTGTCTTATAATTTTCTGCATACAGGTCTTTTGTCTCCTTAGGTAGGTTTATTCCTAGATATTTTATTCTTTTTGTTGCAATGGTAAATGGGAGTGTTTTCTTGATTTCACTTTCAGATTTTTCATCGTTAGTATATAGGAATGCCAGAGATTTCTGTGCATTAATTTTGTATCCTGCTACTTTACCAAATTCATTGATTAGCTCTAGTAGTTTTCTGGTAGCATCTTTAGGATTCTCTATGTATAGTATCATGTCATCTGCAAACAGTGACAGCTTTACTTCTTCTTTTCCGATTTGGATTCCTTTTATTTCCTTTTCTTCTCTGATTGCTGTGGCTAAAACTTCCAAAACTATGTTGAATAAGAGTGGTGAGAGTGGGCAACCTTGTCTTGTTCCTGACCTTAGTGGAAATGCTTTCAGTTTTTCGCCATTGAGGATGATGTTGGCTGTGGGCTTGTCATATACGGCCTTTATTATATTGAGGAAAGTTCCCTCTACACCTACTTTCTGCAGGGTTTTTATCATAAATGGGTGTTGAATTTTGTCAAAAGCTTTCTCTGCATCTATTGAGATGATCATATGGTTTTTCTCCTTCAATTTGTTAATATGGTTAATCACATTGATAGATTTGCGTATATTGAAGAATCCTTGCATTCCTGGAATAAACCCCACTTGATCATGGTGTATGATCCTTTTAATGTGCTGTTGGATTCTGTTTGCTAGTATTTTGTTGAGGATTTTTGCATCTATGTTCATCAGTGATATTGGCCTGTAGTTTTCTTTCTTTGTGACATCCTTGTCTGGTTTTGGTATCAAGGTGATGGTGGCCTCGTAGAATGAGTTTGGGAGTGTTCCTCCCTCTGCTATATTTTGGAAGAGTTTGAGAAGGATAGGTGTTAGCTCTTCTCTAAATGTTTGATAGAATTCGCCTGTGAAGCCATCTGGTCCTGGGCTTTTGTTTGTTGGAAGATTTTTAATCACAGTTTCAATTTCAGTGCTTGTGGATTGGTCTGTCATATTTTCTATTTCTTCCTGATTCAGTCCTGGCAGGTTGTGCCTTTCTAAGAATTTGTCCATTTCTTCCAGGTTGTCCATTTTATTGGCATAGAGTTGCTTGTAGTAATCTCTCGTGATCTTTTGTATTTCCGCAGTGTCAGTTGTTACTTGTCCGTTTTCATTTCTAATTCTATTGATTTGAGTCTTCTCCCTTTTTTTCTTGATGAGTCTGGCTAATGGTTTATCAATTTTGTTTATCTTCTCAATGGACCAGCTTTTAGTTTTATTGATCTTTGCTATCGTTTCCTTCATTTCTTTTTCATTTATTTCTGATTTTTATGATTTCTTTCCTTCTGCTAACTTTGGGGGTTTTTTGGTTCTTTCTCTAATTGTTTCAGGTGCAAGGTTAGGTCGTTTATTTGAGATGTTTCCTGTTTCTTAAGGTAGGACTGTATTGCTATAAACTTCCCTCTTAGAACTGCTTTTGCTGCATCCCATAGGTTTTCAGCCATCGTGTCTTCATTGTCATTTGTTTCTAGGTATTTTTTGATTTCCTCATTGATTTCTTCAGTGATCACTTCGTTATTAAGTAGTGTATTGTTTAGCCTCCGTGTGTTTGTATTTTTTACAGATCTTTTCCTGTAATTGATATCTAGTCTCATAGCGTTGTGGTCAGAAAAGATACTTGATACAATTTCAATTTTCTTAAATTTACCAAGGCTTGATTTGTGACCCAAGATATCATCTATCCTAGAGCATGTTCCATGAGCACTAGAGAAAAATGTGTATTCTGTTGTTTTTGGTTGGAATGTCCTATAAATATCAATTAAGTCCATCTTGTTTAATGTATCATTTAAAGCTTGGGTTTCCTTATTTATCTTCATTTTGGATGATCTGT